CTTTACTTTTTATTCATTTATTTTCCTCAAGATTGCTTTGGCTATTTGGGGTCTTTTGTGGCTCTATACAAATTTTGGGATTGTTCTTCCTATTTTTGTGAATAATGTCATTGGAATTTTGATGGAAATTGCATTGAATCTGTAGATTGCTTTGAATAGTATAGACATTTTAATAATATTAATTCTTCCAATCCAAGAATATAGGATATCTTTCTATTTATTTGTGTTATCTTCAACTTCTTTCATCAACATTTTATAGTTTTCAGTGTACAGATCTTTCGCTTCCTTGGTTAAATTTATTCCTAAGTATTTTTTGGTGGCTATTGTAAATGGAATTATTTTCTTGATTTCTTTTGTGGATAGTTCATTGTTCTTGCAGATTTTATTTTATTTTATTTTTCTTTAAAAGACAAGGTCTCACTCTGTCACCCATGCTGGAGTGCAGTAGCACAATCATAGTTCACTGCAGCCTTGAACTCCTGGGCTCAAGCGATCCTCCTGCTTCCGCCTCCTGAGTAACTGGGACTGCAGGTGCAGCCATCATGCCTGGCTATTTTATTTTTTTATTTTTTGTAGAGACAGGGTCTCACTATGTTGCCCAGTCTGGTCTTGAACACCTGGCCTCAAGCATGTTCTTGTAGATGTTAAAATGAATAAAAGCTAGTGGCAGGTAATCAGTGATTAGAGAATGGCATCAGAGGGAAACAAGGGTGGGGTCTCTCTTGGGCAATAGTAAGAGTTGTGGGGTATTTAGGGCATAGCTGGGTTTTAATTATGGCAAGAAGATAAATGGAGGATGGAAAAGGAAAACATTAGAAGGAGCACCAGTGCCTCAGTTAAGGGATGGGAGAATCAGGAAAGAAGCATCAGCAGAAAAGAGGCAAAGGGATACATGGGGAAAGCATGAAATATGAGCCCTACAGACCTGTGTTTGAATCCTCACTCCACTCCTTATTGGCTGTATCACCTGGAATCAGTCTGCTTCTTCATCTGTAGATAGAGGACAAGAAGAATCTAAGGCCTTATCGCCCTGGGTAGAGTGCAATAGAGTCATTGTCATCGTAGCTCACTGCAACCTCAAACTCCTGGGCTCAAGCAATCCTCCTGCCTCAGCCTCCCGAGTAGCTAGGACTACAGGCATGTGTCATCATGCCTGGCTAACTTTTCTATTTTTAGGAGAAATGGGGTCTTGCTGTTGCTCAGGCTGGTCTT